TATCTGCCGCCCATAGTCCCCCCCGCCCTCAGTAGTTCCCCCTGCTCCTCCAGCTCCCCCTACCCCCTACTTACCCAGCATGGAGCCCAGGTCCTGGTTGCTGCAGGCAGCATGCTTCAGCGCCCGGGAAAGGGCCAACCACAGATGCTCTGGCAGGCTACCAGAGCACCTCTGTGTAGGACGGTGCCTCTGGTTGCCTCAGGACGTGGACTGGGACTGTGCCCTTCCCCGCTTTTTTCTGCCACAGTTTTTTTTGACCCTTGGGGTCTAATTTTGCTTCCACGCTGCAAATTTGCAGCGCAGGGAACATTTTCTTATTCCCACACATGCCTCTTGCAGCATCTCAAAGGGCTTTGAGATGCTTCAAGATGCACGTGTGCACTTGTGTGGATGCTACTGGCTGGATCTGGCCTGAAGAAAGGCTGGGCACTGCCCATCCAGGGCAAAAAACGTGAGTACCACTGACATAGGATAACTACATGGCTAATTATTAGATTTAGTTAATACCGGCTTTATAAAATGGAATGTACCCACAGTCTTTTATCACCAAATCTTTTTAACGTTCATTTGACTCTTTAAAATCTAAATCAACTACAATTTGGTGCATAAATTGAGCTTTATAAAACTTCTCAATACAACATACATTTATTTCAAGTAACTACAGTGTTATTAAAACATAATACAATCATAAAGAAACTATAAGTTCAACACATTTGATATTCTTACTGAAAATGATCAGTTAGGTAAAAATATTTGTGAACTCCTGGACTTCTAAAAGTCAGTGATGTCAAAGTTTTCCTACAGGTTGAGCCAGGAAGTGTAATATTTGCTGATTGTGCCTGTAATATCCACTTGGTTAGAGAGAGATTATTCAACAGTAGGTAATCTGTTTCAAACTTTCCATTTCAAAGATTATTTTTTTCCCAAACCAGTTTGCTTGCCTCTTTCTACATGTTGCTTTCTAGACAGCAGTGGAAAGGTATCCTGATTTCTCTTAATTGTTCCTCTGTGTCTTGATCTTCTGGATCTTAAAAGTATATTGTTTAACTTTTTACTTGAGAGAGAATGTATTTTGTGTGGTGGGTGTGTTCGTTCAAACAGCCATGATTTTGTTAAGTTTTGATAAGTGTCCTTTAAATGCTACTTCTGCAACTCTTACAGGCTCTCATTATTTAGGATTTTCTTACTCCTTGAGTTGCATAATAGCTTGAAGGTGGTGTCTCGATGAAATGTTTGTATAGATCTGCATGCCATGGCAACAACATGCCTCTGTTTTGTAACTGTGAATAAGAATAAGGTGTTTATAGCTGGAGAATGACGATGACAGACTCTGGTCTTTTATGTAGTGGGTACCACAGTTCCTGATTTGATAGTGTAGTTTGTTGAATAAGCACATACCTTCTTAATTGGTGTAATTTGTTCCTAATGAGGATTGCATTAGGCAGAGCTTCTCAGGATGAACAAATCTGCCTTCTTATTGAGTTGTCAGTCTGCTGGAAGTGCTATATTTCCTTATTTGTATGTTTTCCCAGCTGCTGTTTGATGAAGTGCTAAGTGGCAGAGATATGATTTATCATTTGGGCCTACAAGCAAATTTGTCCTAATCCAGAGCCCAGAAAAGGCTTCTTTTAAACTCATTGGTCACTAAATTTGCCTTGGGTAAACCAGAAGTCCTCTAGAGTGTTCGCCACGGAGAACACAAGCAACTGTACGGTGAATTTCCTTAGAACATCAGTCCCAACCCAACACCTCTTTCAGCTAGCACCTCCTTTTCCAGTTCATGAAATATTCCAGGCCTCTGATTCAGGGTCCGACATATCTTCCTTACAAACCCTAATCTCATTGCATTCTTCTGCTCCTCCAGTCTGCAACAGATACAATTCATTTGTATCTGATGTCCCCTTCATTTTTTCTTTCACAATTGCCTTATTTCACACCCCCTCTCTGCTTTTAGGGTGACATATATGCTGGTACACAGGGCCAGCCGTAGGCTGTGCACTGCTTAAGGATCATTTTACACCAAATCTTTATTTGTGCTGGCTGTTGGCACAGGGCTGAAAGTCACCTTTGGATTCCTCCTGAAAACATTCTCATGTAGCACCCATACAGCATTATTGACTTGTTTCGTATCTTAAACCTTCACCTTTCGTGAAAAGTGGAACTGCATCACTGAAATTCATCATGTTTAGGGGGAGGGGAAGACTTGATATCTCACCAGAACAGCACAGGTAAGATCTTCTCGCTAGAATACTCTGGTAAATTCCT